TATAACTGGATTCATGATATACAACTAAAATTGCTCTGGGAATCAGTTAATATATCGAGAGCTTTTATTATTGGCTGAATTTATTATTACTTAACTAATCCTTATGCTTCTTACTCTCTTTTTTCCCCCTCCCCTATGCTTTTGATCCTTAATAGCCCTGTCATATTTAAACATTTCATTTTTCGCCCTATCTAAAACCTATTTCCACTATCATTCTCTATACCCTTGCCCTTCTTTATTTTTATTCATAGTCCTTATCACTTCATATTATTATATATTTCTTTGTTAATCTGTTTATCTGTTACGCCCACCAGAATATAATCTCCATATGACAAGGAATTTTGTATTTACTGTATACTCTCAGCCCCTAGAACTGTGACCAGTATAGTTGGCACTCAGTTATTTTTTAAAAGGACGAATATATTTTTGAAGCTTTTTCTATACACATGACCTTAACTTCATTGAAAGAAAGCCTGTATCTAAATTATAATAAGAAATAGGATAAAGTATACCCCTTACTGCATACATTTCCTTTTCTCGTCATAAGAACTGCAGAAAACTCAAGTACCCAATAATTAATGTAACTTTTTTCTAGACAGACATTTTACATTGAAACTCCATGGAAGAATTTATATAACCTTTTTGAGCCTGTTTCCTCATCTCTAAGTGGCATTAGTAATGTCTACCTTTCAGGGTTATTATGAGGGTTAAGTGAGTTAAAGTGGGCACATAGTATATAATATTTCATTGAATTAATTCAGTAAATATTCATTAGCACCTACTATATGCCTATTACTCTAATAAACACTGGGGTTACAACAGGAACAAGTCACTCCCCTGTCACCATAGAGACTAGTCAAGTGGGGAGAGCAAACAAATAAATATGTTGTCAGATGATAATAAGCGCTATAGAGAAAAGCTAAAAAATCAAACCAAAAAAAAAAAAAAACCATTTACGAAAGGACAATTTGTTTTGTGCACTGTTGTATTTCTAGAGCCTAGCATAGTGTCTGGCATACAGCAAATTATTTCACAGATAAATATACAGAAATCAAGGCCATCAGGCATGAACTACCTAATCTCTTATTTCTACTTCAAAATATTTATTTGGTCTTTTTTGATTCCTCTTTGAGATGTTCCCTTCTTTTGCCAAGATTAATTCATTCACCTGTCTTCTAGATCCCATGAGTTCCAATTCCTTTTGGATCTCATTTCTCCATTAATCATTGTATCTTCAGTCTTCCCAAAGCCCTGGTCCTACGTCTCATCATTAAACATACAAAAGTGTTTCTGTTATATTGAAAAATCTTCCACTTGGCTCCATGTTCCCTCTGGATAGTGCCCTATTTTTCTCCTTTCTTTTAATGCCACACTTAAAAAGTATGTGGCTTACTGTTTCTACCTTCTTCTCATCCTCTCACTCCTCAACATCCCCCAAAATTGGCTTCTGCTCTCAGCAAACAAGTCCACAAATTAATGCCTTTAGCCAAATTCAATGGACTTTTCTGTCCTCTTGTTCCATAACATGTCTGCAGCTTTGACACTGATGCCTATAAGATGACAGTAACAGAGTCATTTACTAAATGCATGCTGTGTATTACCTCATTTAAACCTCACAAAAAAGTGAGATAAGTACTTTAATTTTCCCTATTCTACACATATGAGAACACTGAGACTCAGCAATGTTAAGTGACTTACCCGAAGTTACAAAGCTAGTACATGGTATGGCTTGATTTTTGACCTCAGATTTGACTTCAGAAGTTGATTTTTTTTATTTCAAAAGATTTAGGGGGTACAAGTGTTTTTCATTACATGGATGAATTTTATAATGCTGAATCAAGGCTTTTAGTGTACCTGCCACCAAGAGTAGTATACATTATACCCAATAGGCAATTTTTTTTATCACCCTCCCTGCTTCTTAGTTGCCAATGTCCACTACACCAAAAAGTTGACATTTTTAACAACCATTTATATTGCCCCAGTATTTCCAGGCTTTAAAAAAATATATAAAAGT